GTGAATCTATGCCACGAAGAATTGAGGCAGTTCTGAAGGCAAAAGGGGGTCCAACCCGTTACTAGTATGGTGTACCTAATAAAGTGGCCAGTGAGTGTATTACAGAGTTGTAAAGCAAGCAAATTTAATTTCAATTTTTTATAAAAAAAAAAAAACCTTGCACATCATGCATCACATGCATAACATCAGATTACATTCAGTTTATCTTTATGCAGTCAGAACATTGAACAGTGAGAACTGTATTTGCATTTCACATTTCTTCTTGCAACATCCATCACTCAGCTTAAGTAAAAAGTAATGCAGTGCTTTTGAGATACAGTATCAGGAAATGAAATACTGCAATACCTCAGTGTTTCTTTTTTTTCTTGTACCCAAATGGTAGCTCCAGAAAAGGTGTGCAAGAGTTTTAGATAAGATTTGTTTGTACAATGTTTGATCCTTTTAACAAACTGATGCAAAATTTGTATAGCTAGCAAAATATTTAATGCTTGACCTATTTTATGTAACTCAGAACAAAAATGAGATAAGTCACTTGTGCATTACAAATATAAAATCTGAAACAATATTGGCATAATTTATCTTCTCTTAGTTTTGGCACCAATGTTGTTTTTGGCTGAAAGATTATTTGTTTAATTCATCACTGCCTAATAAAACCTGTTTCTTTTAATCAAACCWGGCACCTATCAAYTGGCCCAGGTTGTTCAAAATAAGAAAAAAAAATGCTGTGTCAAATCTTATGGCCTGTGTTCAAAGAAAAGCTGAATATCTTTTCATGTTACAACTTATACTTAATTGGATATTTTAAAAAATGAAAACTTTTAGGTTTTGTTTCACAGTACACCCTCAAGCTGTTCACAGTTACTTTATGACCGGCATTATTTGAACCWTTTGAAATTTGCTAAAAATTGCTTCAAGTTCTTTGTGACTTACTCAGAAGAACGTGTTTTATAGAGTATTATTTATGTTAATTTAAGTTCCTTTTGTTGTGACAGAGTTGACAGAGAACAACTTAGTGACAATATTTCTATTAAAAAACAGGACTTATTTTAAGTAACTAAAGTTTAAGACCGGACAGAAAGGAGGATCATTATTATTACTTTTTTTACCTAAATGTCAGGACAGTGAGTGGTCGATAGGATTTGTGACTAGAGTTGCTACTCAGATTGCTTCCCCAGAAATCATTGTTCCAGATGTTGCTCAGGGGTGATGCTGGTTTCAGATCCTGCAACATACACATACATAAAAAACAAACACATAAATGAACTAATTTCAGCAGACAGAACTTGTTATACACACCATGTCATCTATGATAAAGTTGTTTTACATTACGTATAAAGCATTCGAGATTATCAGATAATGATAACTGACCTTGTTGTTGACAATAGCTTCAGAATCGTCAAACACAAACTCTCCATCGTAGCTGTTTACGAAGCACAAAAGCCCCACCAGAGCCACAGTCAGCTTCGCCTGGACTGGAGCAAGTTTTGGCAAGGGTAAATGGTGATCCCAGTAAACTTGAGTCACTGCCATAATGCACAGGATCCTTGTTCATCCTATACTATTATCTCCCTGAGACGATGAAGATGAATGCAGACAGAGTCATACCGTGTCACCTGCTAGAAACGCACCCAGCATCAGGTACTGTACAGGCTGATGGGTGGCTCATAAAATCTGAGTCTTTGAACACACCGTGCGGGTATATCTTATCTTTTCACATACACGTTCGAGAGGTCGCTGCGTGCAAGTTAACCTGTCTCACGAAAACAAAATCCATCAGTTATCTGTCTCTGCGCAGCTGCACACGATTACGAAGTGCTCCTCTGTGTTGCAGATGGAGAATAATCACGCTTTATTATCTTGATGGTCTAAGGTCAAGTGTATTCCCAGTTTTGCTAGCCAATCATGCTAAACTTTAGCAGTATGTCAATGTTAGCAGACGCTATGTCCCATTAAATACGAGTTCAAACGTGGCATACGCGTGGTCGTAACTATTTTCAGATAATATTGTGAAACTAAAAGCTGTACTTAGCCGACACAGTGAGGATAACTAATAGTTCAAAGTAATCCATGTGAGGTTCAGTCAACGCGCTGGAGGCTGTAAACAAACACACACGCTTAATGTCAACACTTCCGCTAAAGCGTAATAGTCACGTGTTCTGTTTCAACCAATTAGCAATGTTGAATGAGTGACATCATTACGTAGGTGGGTTATGGTGAGTTCAGGTTGGGTGAAGCCAAAAAGGCAAAAAGGACGAGTTTTTATTTAATCTCTGTTTATAAATTATGTTGATTGAATTGTTTTTTTTTTCTGGCTGGGGTTTTAGCAGAAAATTAGTTTTAGAAGTTAAAATATCGTTTGACAAACATTTTTGAGGTGCTAATGACATGAAATTTT